CGCCCCGGGGGCCACCCCCGCCTGCGCGCGCCCTTTGGGGGGCTCGGGGAGCGGCGCCGGAGGCCCGGCCGCATTGTGACGTAGCGGGGCCGCGGCAGCGCCTCCGCCGCCCGCCGGCTCCTGCGGCGGCTGTTCCTGCTCCAGGCGCCGCGGTCCGTCCGTCTGTCCGTCCGTCAGTTAGTGGGTCCGCGCTCGGTAGCCGCCGGCGCGCCGGGAGCCGGGGGTGAGTCCAGGTCCAGGGCGGGCGCCGCAGGGGGGCGGAGGCGGGGGCGGCCAAGCCTTTCCAAGTTTGCAGCGGGCGACCTCGGCGGGTGTTGCCCCTGCTCCCCCAACCCTCGGGCCCCCTTTGTGCGGCGAGTCCCGGCTGCTCCGGCAGCGGCGGCGCCTCTGCAGAGACGGTTTGGGGGGAGGTCTCTATAGTAACGGCGGCGGCGGCGGCTTTTATTCGGGGGAAGGGGTGTACAGACCCCTCCTCGGTTTCCGAAGGATTGTTCTTTTCATTTGCCCGTTTGATGGGCTCATTATTCTTGCTGCCACCTCGGACCGTAGCGGAGGTAGGAATGGGCAGTGCCGCCGTTCCTGAGAGCTGAGATAAGGGAGGGCGAAGTAATAGTACCAGCAACAGTACCAACAATAGTAATCAACGCCAAAGAGGGCCACCGGGAGTTGCTGTCGCCCAGGGGGAGCCCCTCGCTCACCAGCACCGCGGCTCCCTGGCTGCGGGGGTCCAGCTCGGGCTCAGACCGCCTCCCGCCGGCGCTGCCCTGCGTCCCGGGCCGGTCTGTGTCAATCAACCTGAAATGTTTCTCTCTTGGCCTTCTCTTGTGATGACTTTCATCTGCAGGTGGTAAATGAGGTGAGCCGGTATTTTGACTATTGTCAAACGCCACGTTTTGTTTATTTCATTTTTACGAAAAGAAAAGAAGGAAAATTATGAGCCATTACTGGCAGCCATACAGTTTCCACAGGAAATACTAGCATTCTTTGAGGAACACGCTACTGCTTGCAGAGAAGAAAGTCTTTAGGAAACAAAAAGGCAACAGCATTGTTGCTCATTTTCAGTGGACCGCTAGGAGGGGGAAAACGTGTTGTTGTTTTTCCTGTGGGAACATTGCTTTCCTTGGGAAAGTTAATTAAGGACGGTTACTGTGGGGGTCCGTTTTTCACTTGCTGGTGGCTGGGGCCCCCTCCTCTTGGCTGTTACTGACAAGTGCCTATCAAAGTACCCAGGGAAAAGGAGAACCACTGCAGGACAGTCTCACCGCACACCACGTGCTGTGGAACCCAGGCCAGGGTGCAGTTTGCAAAATGAAATAAGGGCTGTCTGGGGAGCTTTATGAGGATTACATGTGTGCAGAATCTGTCAGTTCTCCAAGGTGTCACTCTAAACACGTAATTTCCAAGCACCACTTTTCCTTGCTGAATCTACAGGAAGGCAAAAACCTATTCCTCTCATTGTGGAGCAGACATCCCAGTTGGGAATGAGTTGACATTTGTAGTTCATTTGTACATATTGGAATTTTAAAAGGCAAAGAGAACAAGGTGTAGGGAAGCAGTATGCTAATGTGTTCACAACTGGGAGAGAATTTCTAGTGGGTATTCCTGGTGCATCTCAATGTTAAATTACATGCAGCGTGGTCAGAGTGCATGGAGACACCTTAAAGCTATCCTTAAAACTATTTGCAAAAGGTGTGACATTTTGGTACCAATTACAGAAGTCTCTCCGGAAGGCCATATTAACTGAAGATTACCCATATCCAAACATGTAGGAGTTCCTAGGTCTTGATTCAGAAAGAGAAAGATGGTGCTTCTCTTCAGGTTCTTTGGACATCCCAGTTAGAAATGAAGTATAAAAAATAAGGGATATAATTTTGAATAGAAATGTCATTGTCTCCATAGCAAGTATTCCATGAGGAAAAGGTAACAAGATAGTATATTTGAAATGATGCTGCAATGGTTTTGACATTTACCATGTGTTGATGTCCAAAACGTAGTGACTAAAACCAATGAATTTCTCTGTCTAGGTCACAGCTTAGTTAATTCCAGGCAGTCATTCTGGTGCAGGTGTGCAGTGGAAAGGCAGACCAGAGGCCAAGAAACTTGGTGTGCGCTGTTGTTTTGGAAGGAATTGTAGCAGCACTTTACTGCTCCTAAGAGGAGGGAAACCCACACAAACATCTAATACAAACAGATGATCTTTGATATTATCAAAGAAAGCCTGAAGCTGTTTTTCTTGCCAGATTTGAAGCAGTTCTTGTCAAAAGAGGAAATCTCCCATGGAGCAGGTGCACCACTGTAAGAAACAAAATCTAACTGACTAGCAACGAGGGAGTCAGTGACACTCTTAGAATAGAAGCCTTGTTTTGGGAAGTCTGTCAGATTAGGGTTGCAAACTACATAGGAGAAATATGTCTTGGGAGAAAAATAATATTCTGGTGAAAATCTAACAGTTCTTTCTGTGAAACTTTTACCCTTATTTACTTGTTTCTTTGTGCCCCTTTGATTGATATACAAAATCACATACAAGAAGAAATTTTCTGAAAATGAATCAATAAAAATGGTTACTAATATGTATGTTATGCATGATTTTGCACTTTGTATAGATCAGATAACTAGATTTTACATTTTATGGTTTGCATCTTCTCAGCTCTTTTTTCAAGCTTTGAAAACTAACAATTAAATTGTGTTAAAATGATGAATGTTGATTGATATGATTGATGGATGGGCCCTGGAAAAGTGCTAATTGATTCCTAAATAGTCATTGTGTATTTACTTTGTGCATAGGTAGGATTTAAAAATATAAAATGCAGTCTCCACACAAGGAACTTACAAGGGAGAAAATAAGACACATAAAAAATTAAATAATGGTACAAAACATGAAAGACAATATCTTGTGATTGAGCGCCCAACACACAAAGTAGTAAATGGAATGGAATTCCTAGGAGAAAGTGACCCCAATCAACTTAGATGTCTCATCAGTTATCCTTTGCTGCATAACCACAAATGTTGCTTAAAAATCACCGCATATGTTGCTTAAAACAACCACTGTAGGCCATGATTCTGCAGTCAGCAGTGCGGCCTGGGCTCAGCTAGGTGGTTCTGCTGGTCTTGGCTGGGTTCCCTCAGGCATCTTTAATCATCTGGGGGCAGGATGATGCAGGATGGCCTCACTTATGCCTGGCAGTTACTAGGCCGTTGGCCAGGCTAACAGGTGACTGGGACATGTGCCTCCCAGTCTCCAGCCGATTAGTCCGGGCTTCTTTACATCGCAGTCAGGCAGTGTTCCAAGAGCAGCAAAAGAGCAAACCCCAATTCAAGAGATTTTTAAGCGTTTGTTTGTATTACGTTTGCTACTCTCTCATTGGCTAGATCAAAACACAAGGTCACCCCAGATTCAAGGGGTATCAAAAGACTGTACTTATGATTAGAGGATTAGAGAGAGCTACAAAGAATTGTTGCCTTTTTTTTTTTTTTTTGCAATCTACTACATGTTTGAGAACACTTGTTCTAGCAAATGTTTTCTGCTCAGGAATAGTGCATTGTGAGCTAGGAGAGATTGGTGGACCCTGCTTGTAGATAGCCCTAATTGAGGTTAGGGAATTGCCCTGTAAATCCTTGTCCTGTAATCTTTGTTCTGTAAACCATGGGTAGGATAGGAGCAATGCAATTTTAGCCATATCCTCCTGCCAGTGACATCAGGATGGTTTGGAGACAGTAGGCCAGTGGCAGAGTCAGCAGAACATTGTTGGGAGGTGACGAAGGCTCTGACAAAGGTGGAGCCGGAGAGAATGGGAAGGAAGGGATCAATCCGGAAGATCCCAAATTTAGGAGGAGGTGACTGATTATGGAGGGTTAGCGAATGCCTAGGGTCAGAATCATTCTGAGATTTTAAAAAGCTTAAGTGACTGAAAGAATGATTGTGCTGTTGTGAGAAATAGAGAAATCAATAAGTGATTTATTTAGGGGGAGGAGAAAAATTCAGTTCGAGAAAGGTTGATTAAAAGAGATAAATTGAATGTGAAAGTACTTTCTAAGCTGCAGAGTATGCTAAGAATGTTAGCTATTGCTTAGTGTTTAAATTGCAATGGATTGTGTATAGTTAAGTTTCTCTAGTTGTAAAGCAACAGAAAACAAAATTCAACATGGAGGATATCCTAAGGGAAGTCAGAAGAACCACTGTCAGGAAGGAAACAGAGCTATTCTGGTGGACTGGGGAGTAGGAACTGATGCTTTTTTTCCTGAGGCACTGCTGGAGGTCTGCCTTTGGAGTGCTCTGCCCTTGGATTTAGCATACCAGGAAAGAGATCGCCTTTGGCCTAGTTTGACTGGCATGCACACTGGAGAGCCGAGCCAGAAGCAATGATTGACAGCCCCACTAAGACAACACAAGTGGGGACCTGGTAGGTGCTTCCTCAGAGAACATGAGAGCACTGCTATCAGAAGTGGGAATGGACACTCATGGTGGCAAAACCAACAAATGTTCACCAGGGATGGACACTTGAAGATTTATTTGGGCCTAGCCACTGGGAAGCAGACAGGGCATCTTAGGCATATTTATATCTAGAGGTAGGTGCTTTAATAACAGTTAAACCCATGGTAGTGGTGGGGTATTCACAGGGATGGAGAGTAAAGAAAGAAAAGAAGGCACAGCACAGTGCGTCATCCAGGCTCTGCCATAAATGTCAGTCGGTGTTTTATGAGAGGGGAGAGGAATTCAAAACACTCTCTGTTCCTTCACCTAAGGACTCCGTCGAAGAGCTGCTCTACCAGCTTTGTTTTATAGGTGGCCAGTCTGAAATTCAGGTGTTGTCCTTGCCATCAAGTGCAGCTGTTGGGCCAGACAGAAACACCTGGCGTCTCTAACGTCACACTATTAGTCTGCACAGCATACACAGCTGCTCTTTATGGTAGGTCCTTGGATGGACCAGCTCAAACCTAAGCATACGCTTTTATAATTTCTATTGTATAAGTCCTAAGAACCCTGAAGATATTCAATAAATGCTAACTTAATACGTGTTATTAAGTTATCTGGTGCAGTAACATTTTCTAAGGTAGCCTGTCTGGCCTGGCTTTTCATTATTCACGGTACAATTTGCTGTAAAGTCCCTAAATGTCTTATATCATTTAAACGTTTTAAGGTGCTCTTATCACAGTCATGTAGGTTTTTATAATCCACCGCTCACAAAAATGACCATTTTTTTTTTGAAACACAATTGTCTTTACCTTTTGTATTTGTCAGGATTCTTAGCGGTGAGTCACAGAAATGCGGTCTATACTTGCTCAGGTAAGAAGGGGCCGGTCCAGGCTGCTGTGTTGGGAAAGGTCAGGAAGGATCCCCTTCTGATGTCCTCCTCTCTTCTTCTTGGTGGTAAAATGGCCATCAGTAGCTTCAGGCCTAAACCCTGCTGGAAAAGAGAGTAGCTCAGGATTAGCTTGAATGAGCCCACTTTGGTCCTATGCCCATGCCTGAACCAGTTCTTACAGCAGGAGGTTTGGAATACGTCAGCTGGCTTGGCCCGGTCTTGGAGCCTTTGGGAATGGGAGGGTGGTCTATGTGAGGAGTGGGGGGGACGTGGAGGTGGTGCATGGGAGTGTGGTCAGCAAAACCCTCCTACACCAAATGACCTGAGAGCAGGGAAGGGATGGCTTGGAAAAAGAAAGTACTGCAAAGAGAGTGTGGATGCTGTGCCAGCACAAACACCAGATATGTGCTATTCATTCCATCTGTTTTCCCTGGAGGGTATATCATCCTCTCGCCAAGCTACCAGGCCATAACCCTGGGAATGATCCTGATCTGACCTCCCTCCTTCCCTCCTCCATCTCATCAATCACCCGGGCCGTCTGCTGAATCTCCGTCTTTATTCTTTCCCTCCTTTAGTTTAGACACTCCTTGTTTCTCTCTTTACAAGTCGCCTCTGAAGTGGTGCCTCTAGTTGTCTGCTTCCAGGTCACCCTCCTCACGACGGCCTGAGTGCTGTTTCTGAAGAACAAATAGATAAAATCGAATCATGAGTCCATGGTCAAAAGGTACCAAGTTCTAGTTATGAACAAATAAGTCATGGGGGTGTGATAGTGACTATAGTTAGTCATAGTGTATTGTACATTTGAAAGTTGCTAAGAAAGTAGACCTTAAAGGTTCTCATCACAAGAAAAAGAATATTATAACTATGTATGGTGATAGTTGTTTCTTTCAAAACCTCATAGCCCTGGGGGATAAGTCCAAGCTCTTGACCATGAATTCCAAGGATCTCCATGATGTGTGGACCCAGCAGATGGGTAGGAGGGCAGGTGTCAGCAATGGCTTCTTCCAGCTGCCTACATGATCCCCATGCTGTGCTGACCTATATAACACTAGGGTCTTCACATGCTTCATTGTCATGTTTTTTGCCCGTGCCCTTGTCACTGTGGAATACTGTTTCTCCTTTCTTGACCTAGTGAACATCTGCTCCTCCTTCCAGACTCAACCCAAGTGTTGCTCTTTCAGGAAGCCTTAGCTGCACACTCCCGCCTCCCCCCCCACGCCCCCCACGCCCCCTGCCCAGCAGCCCAGCATCCGACTTCATCCTGGCCCAGTGGTCAGTGTACTGGTCTGTCTCTCTGAATGCCTTGAGAGCTGCACAGTGTTTTCTTTTCTTTGTATATCTCTGTGCCCCCCACATCATACTCGTGTATGCTCTATAATTTTTAAATGAATAAATAAAAAAATGTGTACTGAATTATTCATCTTTAGGTTTGTAAGGTGATTTTTTTTTTAGGTTTATTTTATTTCTTGTCACTTGATTCTCACATTTGCATCGCAGAACGTTGGACATGATGATGACAGGTTCTCTTTGGAGTTGCTGCCCAGACACTCTTTCAACAGCTTTCACAGCTGTTGGTGGGCTTGTTTCCTCCTCGGTCACTAAGAGCTACCTTAAGAAAGAAGCTGAGAAATATCAGTGGCCCCAATCTCAAGGCTAGAATCTGTGGCTCAGAGATCAGATGAGGAATAATTTTTCTTCCTACCATAAAGAGGATATTTAATAGTTAGTATTTATCAGGCGCATACTCTGTGTTGCATGCTTACCAGATGCCTTACAATTATTTTCTTATTTAATTCTCACAGCAGCCCCAGGAAGGAGGTGATATCACTACTATCATTCTTTTGCTCCATGTGAGGAGACCATGATTTAAAGAGTTGAAGTGGCTCACTTGCCACCAAGCTTCCTCTTTCCAGAGCCTGTCCAGCCACCAGACACTCAGCTGGGTTGTTGAGGTGTAGGCTCAATCTTCAACTGGGATCTTCCAGTTCATCCATGATGATGTTTTTTATTGGTGTTCTAAAATGAGGTGACCACCTCCTAAGAATAGAACATTCCAGCTTCCTCCTTTGGCCATAGATTATGTCCAAAAGACTATGGAAAAGATGTATTTAAAAAGGTAAGGCCTCCAGTACTGGCTTTGAAATTAAGATGAATGTCTACTTTAGAAATTCCAGTCGTGTTCCTATGATTCTGCTGTTGCCAGACAATACAGGCCTCTTACGGAGGTTGTGCTATGGTGTATAAAGTGCAGGCCCTCTTGAACAGGCATAGAAAAGGCTTAGCTCTGAGGATCACTCAGAAAGTTATGCTATAGATGCAAAAAGTGTGCTAAACACTTTGGAAACCACGGGAGCTCAATGCCTCTTAACCTGCTTTCAGCCTGAGAGCCTTTGAGGTTCTCATGAAAGCTATGGATTCTTTTCTTAGAGAAAAAAGTTTGTGCGTGCACACACACACACACACACACACACACACACAGACACACACACACAGAGGCTACTTTCTATGAGTTCAGGTTTTTCCAGGATCTGTGGATGCCCACCTGTGGATTTTCTGGGGCTCCACAGACTCTAGGTTCAAAATCTTGTTTAAAAACTAGAATCCAGAAGAAATACAGCCATTGTTGGGTGTTTACCATTTGCCCGTCCTTTTTTTTTTAAGATTTTTATTGGGGAATTGGGAGGATGGGAACAGACAAGTTGCTGTTGTTTTGTTCTTCAGTATAGTTGTGGAGGACGTTGCTTCACTGGCCCAAGTTGGCACCATCATTGCGCTCTTCCTGGGCGAGGCAGATCAGTCGCCGGCTTCTGGACGGCCGCTCACTGCGGCTGCTGGCCGCTCACGCTGGCTGCTGGCTACACACGGTAGCCCATGGCAACCCACTGCAACAGGGGCTGCAGCCTACGCTGTCGCCTCACGGCAGCCCAGCTCCAGGTTGAGCTGTTGTTCAGCATCTTAGCTGTGGAGGGCAGTGTCACTGGCCCTCATATGTGGGATCCGAACCGGGGCTCTCTGGCATCCCAAGCCAGCTCTTAACCAATGCGCCACTCGGCCAGCCCTGCCTGTCCTTTTTGAAAAGTGCATTATAGCTAACCAGCCCTCTCTTAACCCTGTTTTAAGTGATAGGGAATGAGGTTCAGAGAAGGAATGTAGTCTCTCAGCTGCCAAGGGGTGAGAGTGGAATTAAACGCAGAGCCCAGACTTGCGTCCCTGCCACTGCAGGCTGTGGAACAAGCTGTTACCACGCTGGGCATGAGACCTGGCTGTGCCTGAGAAATTCTGACCCTTGTTGGTCCCGACTTCCCTCAGCTGTCAACTTCCCTGTTGAAAATTGGGCAAGGGGCTGCTGCTGTTGCAAGAGCCTCCTGGAAGCTTTCCGTTCACTGTCCTCCTTCACCGAACACAGCTCTCCCACGCGCAGAGCAGGTAGCATCATACGAGCCATCCAGGCCCTACCGCTTGACCATCCCCAGGTGAGTCCCCAGCTCATTCTGAGTGCAGTTTACACACCTGGAAACTTTTACCTCAACAGATATCAGTAGAAACGGCTGCAAAGTCTCCATCTGAAACCTTCCATAAACATTTATTTGGGGGCCACTGTGTGCCGGACCCCATAGTCAGAGCTGGGGTCACAGCAGTGAGCATACGGCTGTGATTCTGGAGCTCATGGCATTTCCATCTAGGTTATATCAAGCTGAGAAGGGGGGGGGCTCACAAATACCACAAATAAAGTGTGATAAGTTTTATGAAAAAGGACATGTAAAGAACCCACTCTGTGCGAGTTGCTGTTCTTTGCAGCTTCAAAACTGGAGTCACAACGGGTCTCCCTCTGTAGTCCTTTCCTCCCTCCCTCAAGGTTTTTAGAGCCCTCCAGGTCTCCAGAAACTTAGCAGACACAGTAAGGGGGACACACAGGCAGAGCAGAGCATCTCAGTCCCCTCCTTTGCAAATGAGAAGGCAGAGTTGACCACATGACTGGCCACAGGTTGGGTGAAGACAGGCTAACGAGTAGTTGGGCTGGTCCCAGCCAGAGCATGGCTCACTGTCAATCGTAGGCTGCTGTTAATTTATTCGCGATGTGATTATTGTCATTGTTTTGGGCCTTCATGCTGTGGTCTCTCTGCTGCAAATGAGTCCGGCAGGCAAGTACTCTTCAGGAAGCAAACAGATCGCCAGCCACTGCTCCCTCTTTGCAGCCCATGATGGGCTCCCCTGGCTGCTGTCTCTTCTCTCATTCCAGTCACTTCTGTCCCTGAGGCAGCCTCCAATGTTTCCTCCCAAAGTGTCATGACTACTTAGACCAGAACTGCCTGGTAGAAATACTAATAGAATCTATGAATGTGAGCCACAGAGGCGATTTTCTGGGGGGGAAGGGAGGCACATTAAAAGAACGTAAAAGAAAACAGATGAATTGATTTTAATAATATATTTTACTTAACCCAAAATATCTAAAATACTAGCATTTCCCTATGTAATCAACATAAAAAAACACTAACCAGATTCCTTATATTCTTTTTTACCAAACTCTGAAATTTAGGGCGTATTTTATTCTTAGCTCAGACTAGCCACATGTGCAATGCTCAGTAACCATATTAGGCTAGTGGCTCCTTTATGGACTGTAGGTGTGGGCTCTGAGGAGGCCCTGGGAGTCCCAATGGGCTCAGTCACCTGGGCCTCTCTCCCTCAGCACTTAGCTCCCACCTCTACTGTTGCCCCTGCAGGAGGTGTTGTATGCGGCTGACTGTTCCTCAAACCTGGCTTGTGAGCATTGGGAATGTGTCTGTCATCTTTGTCGTCATTGTAGAGTAGCTCATTCAGGCCATTGGAAATGCATTGGTGAATTAGGGAGGGTCATTGGAACCCCAGCTTCTGAAGGGATTGGTGTGTGGGGTCTCACTTCACCAGCCCTGGCTCCACCCTGTTAATCTCTGGCGCTGTCCAGTGTCACAGAACTGCATTTGATTTGAGTCAGACTCAATAGACGTAGGGCGGAGGGTGGAGGGGGGCTGTACAGTCAAAAGGAGTAGCCTAACTTAGAATTGTACTGAGCCTCTCCAGGTCTTGGTTAGCTTTAGTTTCACCTCTTCTAATACTGAATACTAGAGGAACTTATCTGCCATCTAGTAGATGAAATCATAATGGTCTAAATTTACAGGATGACAAAAAACCAAGACCGACCAAACACCAAAACAAAACTCATCCACTGAACAAGCCTTCCACTGAGATTACAAAAGAGGCCAACTGATATCTAGAGCATTAAATATACAGGAGGGAATGGCCTGCACCAGGGAGCTGTTAGAGTCATCATGATGCACTTTCTCTATGTTTTCCAGTGGTTTTAGAGTCAACACTACCCCTGCTGAGAGAACGGGAGATTTATATCCTGAGTAATTATGCCTTTGCACATACAGTATTTAAATTTTGCAAGTGCTTCTACCCAACTAATATGCATGTGATTACTTGTCTACTTTACTCCTGATGATAAATGTCTCTTAAAATAGTTTATACAACCAAGTCTCAAAGACTGGTACCCCCATAAAACCATACTGACCACATATTCAAATAAATTCAAAGTTTGAAAATGGAAGAACATATTAGTGTTTGATCTGTTAAGTGATATAAACATTGTCTCAGAAAAGAGTATGGTTACCTCAGGCCCACTTAAAGAGTGCATTGAAATAGAAAATGGCATTAGGCCTGACCTCCATTTTACCATTGATTACCAGTATCCACCTGGAAAGCTCATTAACCTGTTTGGGGTTTTTGTTATGAAGAGTGTGCAGAGGGAACAGTGTATCCTGCTGTCACACATTGTGTAGGAGGACGATGAATGAACTCTAGAAAATGTTTTGAACAATTCCTCAAAAAAAGAAAGAAATCTATTTGGAACAGTTTGAGGGCAAGGTAGCTTGCCAATATTTTTGCAAAGTCTAAAGAGTTAGAAAAATCTTAGCACACATCATATAGTAGATAACTAAACACTAGCCATGTATAAGTAATTTGTAGATCTCTTCCTTAACAAGTCAAGGATGGTACAAAACAGACGAAGCTTTGCATCTGTTGGCTCAGGTTTTGGGAATGCTGCTTTCATTTGAGTCTCTTAAAAAAGAACTTGCATCTCTCTGTAACTGTAATATACTTCTTCCAACATGACAGCTCTGCTGTGCTGTGTTGGTGTAATTGAAAACCTATAAAAAGGCTGAGAGCTACTTTTGAATTGGCTCAGTGAACTTGGACTGGATTTGTCAAAGTGGTGAAAGGTTTAAAGGAATTTTCATAAATGAGGTCTCCAAGCTGTGTTTTAACCGTAGAATTCCAATGAACTCCAGGGCTTGTGAACTTGGAGAATAGCGCCTCAGAGAAGAGCAGTCATATCAAGATGGAAATAAATGATTCATTTTCATTCCCCAAGTTCTGCAGACATAGGCACACTTAGCCGCTGATCATCATAATTTAGCAGTACTGTTGTGCACTAAAAATGCAATTTAAAAGTCTAATCTTTAATTAAGTTGAGTACTCACAGATTAACATGGTTACAAATCTTGGGCACTGTATGTAGCACAATGTTTACTCATGTTGCTAGGAAATAGCTGAGCTCTTGCAAGTTACAGATTGATTTGGTAAGAGGAGAGATGGGAGCTTCTCACAGTAATGTACTTGATCGTTGCTTCTCTGTTTCTGTTTTATAATGCATGTAAATTCATTTCATGCAGCAAGAGTCCTTCACACTAGAGTTTTTGTTGGCAACAGAAATCAAGGCGTGTGTACCTAAGTAAACATTTAGAAGGTGTTTGAAAGAGTGATTTTTACCTAGAGCTCTGAATGAAATAAGCATTATCAAGTATTGGAGTTTTTAATGAAATGAATTTTGTTCCATTTGTTAGAATTATCAAGAAAATGGATTATTCTTTAAAATATAATTATCAAGAGGCTAATTGATGGTTTTATATTCTTGCCATTAGTGGGAAACTGTCAAATTAGTATAGAAATTTGATCCAGGTTGATGGTTTTCCAAAGCCATTAAAACTGCCATGTAGGAAATCAACTCTGCTATTCTTTTCTCCTTTCCCTCCCTTTGGCAAACCTCGCTGCATGACACATTGTACAATAGTTTTTAAAAATGCAAAGCTAATGCTTGCACAGCATGAAAGAGAGTACCTATGCCAGCTCGCTTGCCTTGTCCCTGAAAAAGATGAAAGATTTCTATGTGCTATTTCAGTCAGGATCAGGCACGAAAAAGTGGCCTCTCCAAGCTCAAAAGCAGAACTGAGAAAAAAACCTACAGGGACCAATTCCCGTTTGATCTATTTGAGGCTGGCTGGCCCTGGTACATGGGGCTGGTATTTCAAAGCAGAAGCTCTTCCTAAGAGATGGAAAATAGCAGAATACTTGATCTTGGAGGCATAACATCAGGGCAGGGATGTTCCAGGATTTTATTTATTCCAGGATTTTACCCTGTATTCAAGCTCAGAACAATGTGGTGAGAAGTAGGGGTGGGTGCTGCTGAGGGAAGGAACCACGACTGCGTTACAGGATACGTGCCTATCACCTCTCTTGGTCATTCACACAATTTTAACTTCCCTCTGGGTAATTATTGACTCCTTCCTGTAGAAAGGCAGTTGTTGATTTAGGTAAGAATTGTTTTCTCAATCTTACCTAGCACAGTTTCAGGTATGTGCTGTATGATTAATATATGTTGGCTGAATAAATGAATCCTTCAACGTGTCTTGCAAGTAAATCTATTAATAAGACCTAAGGTTCACTCCATTGCATTAAGCAGAGGTTCAGGGCTTGGCTTGGCTTGGCTTCTCAAAAGATATCATCATGTTGCCTGTGTTATTTATACTCAGAACATTCCTCTGAGGCACGATACTGCCAAAGAAATGGGCAAAATGCCATGTGATAGAAGGTTTCACTACTCAGCTGTTAGTTGGAATAGGTGATGGAATTGTAAGAGGCCTAATACCCGCTTTGATAGAACTTTTGATGCTAGAAGGGAATTTGGAGATTTGACAATAATGAGATGGAAAGGTAAGATAACAAAACTGGCACACATATTACAAGCTTCTTGGTGGAGTGTAATTTCCTATCCTCACTGTCTCCCAAGACACCCAGCAGCATGCTTATAAAACATGCTTGGGATAAAGATGGTGGGTAGGAGGCAGAATTCCATACTGGTTATGAGCATGGACTTGAACCTCATAGCAAGCAAGGCCTGTCTCAGCCTTTTGTTTACCATGTGTGAGCAGTTTACCAAACCTCTTGATATTTAATTTTTTTTCTTTCACTAACACATTTTTATTGACTACCTCATTTATTCAAGGTGAGTTTCGGATGATTGGAATAAAATGGGAATAGTGGATATCAAATCCACTCTCTTCCTTTCTCTACCTGCTCTGTGTGCTGAGATGTTTGGACTAAATCATCAGGTTC